GTGAACACATGCTTGGACATCACATAAATACAAGCCCTCATATAGCTTATTTTAAACACACCAGGCTGACACACTTATAACAGAGGAAAACCACCTTCTTTATATTTATCTGCTCTTACAATCACTAGCAATTGCTCGTACTATTGAAGTCTTCAACACAGTACTAAAGACAAGATCATAATTTGCATCTTCTAATCTACAAAGTCAAAGTTCCTTCTTCTGACAACCATGTTGTTCCTTAACCATAATCCCAGACCTTCTTTCAGGGATAAAAAAATGATGTTGTAACATCATTTAGGACATAAGCTTTTCTACAAAGAACCCAAACCAACAGTTCTTGATTTATAATATAAAGAGCTCATTAAGCTGATTGTCCTTTTATGAAGAAGATGTCAAAAAATCACAACTTATGCAGCTTTATCCAGGTTTATAAAAACCTGAAAACCAGATGAGAGAAATAAACTCTCACAGACTTTCTGAAGAATTCAGAAAGTAGATTTGCATCCACATATAAGATAAGTACCCAGCTCCCGACAAGGTATTCGTCATCAGAGGAAAGCTTACAAACTGCAAATAATGCCTTTCTTTTCACAAATGTCAAGACATTTGTTCTGACATCCATCTTCTTCATGCTCTTGGCACATGAGGACCCTTCACATTCTAGACTTGATCAGAGACTGGTCTTCAATTCCATCATGATCAGACATTCCAACTTTGGAATCCATTGGTGAACAACAATACTCACCTCATGATCTTCACAACAACTTCCTTTTTAGAGGAAGCACACACCTTGAGATGATGTCCCGACATCAGATAAGACATCAATCTCAATTATATGGAGTCCATTAATTACTATAGTTTTGGAGATATTACCCATAGGAACTCCATACGAACACTCTTGATGAAGAACGCAAGAGTAATCCACTTCAGCAGCTTATTATTTATGCAGAAAAATCAGCAGTTGCCACCATACATTAAAATGCTTCTTCACAAGCCAGTTTCAGACCACATGTCTGACTTAGAGATGTAGGGTGCAATACTTCTACACTAAAAGAGGATATTCCCTCTTAAAATGCAAAGCATCACAACATGGTATTTACTGATCATTATACCATGAACAGATTGTTCAGAAAGGTTTGTTTCTCCCATTCTTCATCCTTCACCAACTAGACACCTTATCCAAGCAACTTGGACAATATCAATAAACATCTGGCTGAATAACACTATGACTATAAGTTAATTTTCCATAATAGTAATTTAACTCAAGTTGATGCATCTCCATTGCACACAACCCCTTGTATATTTCTTCCACGTCAATAGAACAAGAGTTTCATGTTCTCATAGACTTGATAAGTCATATCAATTTTGAGTAAACAACTTCCAACATGTTCGAAAGAAACACCAGTCAAACACGTTGAGAAAAAAATTATCAACACAAATATGTCAAGACATTATATCTAACATCTCAAGAATCTCCAACTCCAGATTATGGATTCTTCTTCATCAACTACTATGAACATAATGATACATTCTCCTCCTTAATAGCAGTACAAAGTGTGGTTAGTGCATACCATCATTACTCCCCTTAAATAGAATCTGTTTTATGACCGTAAATAAGATTCCATACAAATTTGGCTTCTTTGATCAGAAGAATAAACCAGATGTCAGAGAGAATGTCCTTGACAATTGACATCTATATACAAGAAACCTGGTTGAGATAACACAAATCTACTGGACACTAGAGCTCAGCCTCTACACTTCTACTAACTTGAATTAGACACAAACTAAACCAAGAAGTAGCTAATAGGTTGATCAATAACCCATCAATCTAAGACATGTTTTCTGGAGAAAAAAACATCTTAGGTACACAATCCAAATGCCTCATCTTCCAAATTAGGAGTAGGTTCCAAACATAAGTGATCCTCACACATTTTTTTAGCACCCAAAGCATCTGTAATACAACAGGGATCCACACACCTACTAACACAATGTCCCAACATCTTGTAGGACATAAGTTCTCTTCCTCTAGAACTCACAAAACAAAGCTTGGTTCTAAAGCCTAACACTGCTTCCGGAAAATAAATATCCCTTGATTACCTTCAAGGTCCACACGAATGTTCCAGGCTTCTACATTTGCAAGACTCAGAGTCTCTTTCCTAATTAGGTCAAGTATTAGGAAAACTCTATATGAAGCCAAAATAAATGGATCTCATAATTCTTCAACTAACTCATTAAAAGTGTCTTTATGAGAGGACTTGAGACATAAAACTCAAGTATCATTGGCAACTTCACAAAGTTGGTTGATACAGTCTTGCATACATACCAAACCTGTTGAGGAAACTAAACCCTAATGTCCTTCTTTTGCTTGCGGAACAAGAAGCAATCAGGGTTATACCAAATACCATGCAGCAGAATACACAATAACATAAAGCCCCTCAGCAGTCCTCAGGCACAACATATTGCACACAAACGCCTAGGTGCAAAAACGTCATAGGTTTGAAAATAAATCAAACCTAACACTGCAACTCTCCACAGAAGCTACACGCCTGAAACCAATAGACATGTCCAATATACACCCTGTCAAGAACAGTCCATCATGCACTTCAAGGGACCATTCAAAACAATATGAACTATCCAAGTTCAAACAACTTTTCAGTAGAAACTTCTATATTAACCACAAACCAGAAAGTATCCCCCTTGGATCTCATCCAGAAACAGACAGGATGTCTGCTCTGATACCAATTGAAATTCTTGTATAGTCAGAACTCAGATGTCCTATGAGGATGTCGAGACATCTGATCTGAACACAAACAACATGGCAAGGTATAAAAATCAAAACAGAACTAAAAAGCAAACAAACACACAAAGTTGCTAACCTAGTTCGGTGTACAACAACACCTACTCTGAGGGCTACCAAGCCATGAAGGAAATCCATTATAGTATTAGTTCAAAGTATAAATAAACACATGTTTACAACTTTCCATCCTAATCACTATCCGTGCAACTTCTACCTAGGTCCTCCCTAGATATGAGAAATCTCATCTCACCTCCAATCACCGCAATGATGTCTAACAGTCAAATAAGAAAACAAACACCTTAATCAAGACACCCCTTGATTAAGAACAACATACTTGATCTTGCTTCACAGCTTTGATCGAGAATAATACGCAACTCATTACCTAAAGGCTTCTGAGTGAGAACAACAGTCCAACTCACATGCCAAGTGGATTACCTACTCTTCTAGAGAGTGGCACAAAGACTCGACACTAATGATTACATCTTTTTAAAACACGGCTAGTATCTTTCCTAGGTTACAAAGACTTCTATTTATAACTTATACCCAACTGAATTTGGGCCTTCAATCACATCATATCAGCTGTTACAAATCTGCAGGAGATTCTGCAAAGAAATAGGTCTTTAATCATAAACTTCCTAAATTATCTCCATATTTAGAAAGTCAATATTCTTTATATTCACCTTGATTCTTCTTTGACCTATAAAACAACGCCACATAGGACTGCATAATATTTCAGGAATATTTTGCAACTGTCACATCACAACAGATTCTATTAATACAGTTACACCAGTCTACGATGTCGAATGATCCTGCTTAGGACATTTTTTCGACATATTGCTCTAGTTGTTAAGACATCTCAACGCAACATGTTCCTTTATCAGATAGAACTCCTTGCTTAGCCTGTTCTTGTCAGCAAGTAACCACATTCTATCCAACCTATTGCTAGTATATTTTTTTTGTAAAATTAATGTCAATCCTAAAAATAGAGAATTTACAAGTACTATATATATATATATATATATATATATATATATATATATATATATATATATATATATAAGAAAAGTGTGGCACACACTGACTCTCTACACCATAGTACACCATATAGTTTCTTAAAGTGTAAGTAACTAACTTTAACTACCCTATAACTAACTCAACTAACATGTTCCAAGTTTGTTGCTGAATTTTTCATAAGTACTTTTGGAAGAAGCTTATTTTCTAGTGTTCAATTTAAAACTAGATTTTAGAATTGCTTGATGCAGAGTTTCAGTAGAATTTTCTAGTGTTTCAACATAATTTTCACTCCAAATAGAATCGTTTTCTTGTAACTGCCAAGTTGAATTCAGAAACGGTTTGCAAAATAGGCCTTGTTTGTCCCTCCCGAATCTAATGAGCATCACGCGGTTTGTGAGGAGAGCATAAAGAAACGTGGCAGCCATGCTAATCATTTGGTTCCCTAAACCATTAGCATGTGTCCAAATTGCACATTTAATAATCACTCTTAATGTTCTTAGAATGTAGAATCTTTTCCAAGTTTTTGTTGTAAACTCTACCATTAGGTCCACACCTTCTATGAATTTCTTCATAGTTTCATAGTTTCGATACCAAATACGAAGATGGTTTATGAGGTGAAGCTTTGCAGTATAAATGAGATTGATGCCTACTCATGCATGATGGTTCAATATATTCAGAAGCTAAAAGTCCATTAAGCAATTTCTCTTTATCATCATTAATCATCAATAAGTCATTCTTCAAACCTATAATATATTTAAGATAGATCGAAAAAGTCTCAAAGAACATTATACTCAAGATTTAAAAAAAAGGTATAGCAACTGCAAACTGAATTGTAAAATCATGGTTTATCAGTTACAAACCTATTGCTGTCGCTGATTTTCCTTCTCAAGGTTTCTCATAATTTTACGTCGATGATTTTATGTGATGCAATGATACCAAAAGAAGGTTCCGTTTTTCATTCATCAAGCAGAAAAATAGAGAAAACAATTTGAGATCAAAATCTGATTGAAAAAGTGATGAATAAAAGACAAAACCAAAGACATAAACCGATGAGAAAAAACCAATTAGTACTAGGTTTGTGTTGATTTCATGTAACCAACCATTACTCCATTTTCATATATTTTTACATCGATGATTTCATGTGATGCAACAAAACCAAAAATTCATGTCCACGAAACATCTCTAATTATCAAAAATCATTAACCATCTTTACACCAGAACTATAATCCTTACATTGCCTCATATAAATGAGAGAAGAAGCAAAATCATGTATAGCCTTTCCACTACAAAAATTCTTAGGAGGATAATGATAACAAGGCTCCATTGAGAACTCTCTTTCACAAGCTGGATAATGACTCTTATTGCCTCCTAGCCTGTATAGAAGCCATGGCTTCAAATTTCCAAAACCTTGAGCAACATAACCAAATGTAGACAAAGAAGTAGTAACCAACACATCAGATAAACTTAGTAAGTACATATCAACCAAAGCCTTCATATTATGCGTATTATCGTTAAATTTCTGTTTCTCTTCACCGCTCGGTTGATAAACTTCAATTAATTCTCCGGTAACCGTTGATTTATTCATATACATCATCTTTAAATTCTCACCGTATTCTGGATATAAAGACGTCACCAGAACAGCCTTCGTAATCGTCTTGTTTATGCCACTAGGATACACTGAGTTACTAATATTCATATCAATTACATTTGGAAGAAGCTTATTTTCGAGTGTGCAATTCAAAACTAGATTCATAATTGCTTGTTGTGGAGTCTTACTAGGATTAAAAACTCTTATCTGAAGGCCTATTTTCTCATCTGCTTTAGCCAAGTGTTGGTGATAGAATTTTGTGATTAGTCTCCACGCCGAATTTGAAGGGTGGAAAAGGTAGCGTCCCAGATGGTGAAAAACCGCATCCTTTTCCACCAACATTTTCTCAAGTTCCTCGTTGAACAAAGGTGTCATGAAAAGAGAAGGTACAAAATATTGATCTGATTGCAAAATCAACAGAGGAACCTTAATGAGAAGAGCTTGTTTATCATCACAATGAAAAAACTTGTCATGATAATTCTGTTGGTATTGTAGATTGAGAAATAGTGCTGATGGCAAATCCAGTTTTGAATTATTGTTAGCTTTTTCCTTCTCTACCAAGCTTTCATATGTTTCAACATGATTATCACTCCAAAATGGAGAATTCTCAGGTAACAACCAAGTTGAGTTCAGAAACGGCTCGCAAAATAGACCTTGTTTGTCTTTCCCGAATCTTACGAGCATAACGCGGTCTGTAAGGAGAGCATAAAGAAATGTTGCAGCCATGCTAATCATTTGGTTCCCTAAACCATTAGCAGGTGTCCAAATAAGATATTTGCACTTTGCAGAATCACTCTTAATGCTCTTGGAATGTAGAATCTCTTTCATGCTTTTCTGGTAAGCTTTACTATTAGGTCCACACCTTCTATGAATTTCTTCATACTTTCGTAGTTTCGATATCAAATGCCAAGAAGGTTTATGAGGCGAAGCTTTGCGGTATAAATGAGATTGATGCCTACTCATGCATGATGGTTCATCAACCCCAGAAGCTACAAGTCCATCAAGAAATTTCTCTTTGTTATTTGTGGAACCTGTCAATGAGTCATTTTTCAAACCTATTGTTGTAGCTGCTTTTCCTTCACCTGTTGCACTACCATTTTGAATTTTTCCTTGTACCTTAAATTTGCAAGTCCATTAAGGAAATTGAGTAAGTTTTATAACACAAACTTTTTTTTCAAGTAGCTTAATAGCAAGAATTTTACACTGTCGCAGACTTCAAGACACTTTATAACATTTGAAAAAAGACGTTTCTATTTCGTATTAGATACCATTACCGACACTTTATAATTATATTTAATTTATTTAATTCTTTAAATTATTATTAATAATATCGTGTCAATATCAATTTCGTGTTTGAGGTGTACGACCTTTGACCTTTGAGATGTCAACCAGCTACAAGTAATAACTGAGTTAACTATACATGATTTTTTAATAAGTGAATAAAATAGTTACATGCAATGCAATGATTAATACAAGTTGTCATGTTTGAAATTGAAAATTATGAAGAAAGAAATCTTGAAAGAAAAAGAGTAATCTATCACAATATTCAAGATTTAAATGAGATTGTTAAATACTACCGTATAACAAAAGTTAAGATTTGTCAATCGTTATTTGGTTTAGTGGTGATTGATCCTGAATTTGATAGGAAATATTACAATTCGATTTCTACAACTGTGATTAGGAGAAGACTGGAATCACTTAATGTCAGAATTTATCCCTGAACCGGACTATACCAGTGGCGAAAACAAAAAAAAAATTAAGATTTAAATGAGATTGTTGAATTCAAAATTGTTATGGCCTCTATTGAAATTGAACTTATGAAAATGAGTGACAATAATATTTTTGTTTTTATGAATAAAAAATGAACTAATGATTGATAAAGGATCGGATGAATTCAAAAATATATTGGCTACTAATTAAAGAAAAAAACTAAGTTTTGTAATGAAAATATGAAATTAACAAAGTGACTTTCATTAATACCAAAAACAGAACAAAAATAAATTAGCGGTGGATTGAGATCTCATGATACTACTTTGATTAAAAAAATTGAAAATTAATATTTTTTTTTTGAATTTTAATAAATTTATAACATAATTTTTTTGGTCTAATAACTTAATGATTAGATATTTTCCTTCTTTAAAAATAAATAAAGTAAGTGAGATGTTACAAGTTGAAATTCATAACTATGCAATTGAATCTATATGTGGAGATATCAACAAAACTTATTTAACCAAATATAATTTTTTTTATCGGTGAATAAAACAATAGACTACATGCAATGAATAATAGAATCTGTCACGTTTGAGATTGAAAATAAGGAAGAAAGATATCTGGAAAAAAAGTGTAATCTATCACAAAATTCAAGATTTAGAAAATATTGTTGAAAACAATGCAACAAAAGTCAAGATTTGAATGAGATTGTTGAATACAATACACTTAATTTTTTTTTTTTTTCAAAATAATTCTCACAACTTATTTTATAGAACAATCTTTCAAAATTTGTAAAATTTATAAGTTGTGAAAAAATTTCTAAAGGACTTATTGATTTTGTTTCCTCTAAACAAAATTTGATTCATATCAAAAGAAGAGTAATATCTAAAAATGAAACTATGAAAATAACATAAAACAACACATGGTTGGAGTGACTTTTGCGGCAAACGTTATTAACTCCGAACGCTCTTTTAACGCAAAAATACAGTACCCAAAGAAAGTGATTGTCCTGTAATTGAGTAACCAATAATAATACAGCAATGCCAGCTTATGATTTGTACAGTTAAAGGAATGATTACATATATTAATTAATGCAACATAAATATAGATATAGACATACTAGTACTAATACTTATTAATCTTGTGCTATATTCTTACAGATAAATACATAATTATAACTAATTGTGGTTTTATCTGGTTTAATAAGACTATAATGTAATTTTAACTCTCGGTTCAACCAATTAAACAAGTCTATGGTTTCGATTCTAAATTTAAAATTATATGAAATAGTTACTTACCTTTGATTTGGTGTCATTTTCGACATTGTTGTAGCTTCCATTGATGTTGTGATATGATATATTATGAACTGATCCTCCATTGGTTGTTGTAACATTTGTATTGTTGTGACCATTTTTATTTTCTCCAACAAGTTGTAGCATCTTCTCTTTTGTAAACTCTTGAAAGAAAGAGAAGCTTGATTTTGAGTTCATGAGAACGAAAGGAAGTGCTATCAAGATTACAACAAAAAATGGTGTCAATTTCTTGAAACTTTGCACCATCCTATCCTTAGTGACTTGAAAGATTTCCATGGAATATTGGGAAAGAGGTTAGAGAAAGGAGACTTTAGAAGTTAAGAAATAGATGAAATAAAAAAACCAGGTGATCAAAAACCATGTGCAGAGTAATTCTATTTCTTAATAGTATAGTTAACTTATTAATTATTAGAAAATGACAATTTTTAATGAATGATGGACCTATCATGACGTTATCTAAGGATAACAATAAAATTTTAAAAAAAATATTATTATATGATTAGATTTAAACAAGATATTATGCATTACTTTTGTTATTTTAAAGATAAATATCAGTGTCAAATAATTGTATGTATAAAAGTTCTTAAATTTTAATTTATTTTATACATAAAAGTTCTTGAATTATTAAAGGAAATTTTGGTGTTAATTAAGGTTAGTTTAATAATTTTTTATATTTATTTTATTTTTATATTTATTTTAGTTTGTGTTGTAAGATATCTCTCTTGTGCCTTTGAAATTTTAGATTAATGGCTTAATTGCAAAGTTAAGATTAGGTCTTTGATAAGTTAACTTTAATTGGTTTAACTTTAGATTTCGTAATCCTTCTTAATGTCAGACTTTACTCCACTATATTTTGTTCCTTTCTTTTCTTTAGATTTTTAGCTTATTAAAAAGTGTTTTGCTCTTTATGGTGGGGAGTCTTTGGTGGTGCACTAGAGGATTCGGTATGGTAGATGGTGGTTTCTTTCAGGCAAAAAATTTTAAATTGATAATTGGAAAAAAAAAATTTAATTAGTAATTTTTTATATTTATATCTTTTTAAATTATTTTTTAAAAATTAACCTTTTTTCTATTTATTTAAAAAATTAATCCGCCAACAATGATAAACAACGCTAAATGATGATATGTGAGCCTTCAACCACTAAAAAGAGTAGAATTTAACCTTCTCACAAATTGTCATCAAAGCAAGAATTTTATTCTGAAAAACTCGAATGTTTCGCGTTTTTCAAATTAACCAAACAACAACTATCAAAATAATATGAAAAACACAATTTCACTGTTTTGACCAACCGATCAAAGCACAAATTGATCATGATGATCCCTACAATTTCCATGAGAAACAGACTCAATCTCTAACCAGTCAGACAACAATAACCAGAATTTACCATAAAAATCACATCGAACAGACATGTGATTTGTCATCTCATTTTGACCACACAAAGATGTGCACCCCTGCTCCTCTGCATTGATAATACGTCTTTGAACCTAATTATCTTTCGTCGGAAGTCAATTTCGCAATAACCTACAAACAAATAGATTAACCTTCAACGACACTGCTTTTGACTAGCAGACTCTAGAGTCACAAACCCTTTACTCATCCTCCATAATTGTCAAATAATGATAAGTGTTGCTCACATTGTATTGATTTGAAACATGAAGCTTCCACACCCAAGAGTCCTCAACATTAACCTGCAAATCAACAAACTCCAACACAAGGATACACTCCTCCACCAACTATTCTTCTCACGCAAACAACTTCCTAGACTAACTCCACACCTCTCCATCCACCCTCACCCTAAATCAAACATTTCAGCAACTAAAACCTCCTTATACACAGATAACTCGAATAACCTACCGAATAAAAAGTATAAAATAGTATTTAACATAAATCAAATTCACTTTTTTTTCTTAATAATATTTATTAATTCTCTTTAAATAAAAAGTATAAAATAGTATTTAACATAAATCAAATTCAAATTTTTTTCTTAATAATATTTTTTAATCATAATATTTTTATTAAACAAAAAATTATATGAATATTTTAACAAAATAAAATCCACAATATTTATCTTATCTATAAAAGTTGTTAAAAAAGTGAAGAAAAATTGGAAATATTATATTAGATTAATTAATTATTTTTATTTATTTATAATTCTTATAAATAATTTTTTTTATTATTAAATAAAAGTTTGAAACCAAAAATAAAGTAAATTTAATAATTTCTCACATTATTTTTTTATTGTTATTTATTTATTAAAAATGAAGCTCTTATATTAAGATTGTTAAATTATTAAAAGAAATTTTGGCACACCTCTTTATATATATATATATATATATATATATATATATATATATATATATATATATATATATATATATATATATATATATATATATATATATATATATATATATATATATATATATATATATATATATATATTAAATTATTAATTTATAAAGATCAATCATTTAATTAAGTTTTTAATTATACTCTAAATGTTAACTTTTTCATCAATAACTATAAAAACAAATCTTAACTTTTTTCCACTATCTATTTAAAGCCACCTATTTTTCTTATATATTGATTCTATTTAAATAAAAATATAAAAAGTTTTTAATAAAATTAATTCAGATTTTTTATTTTTATATTTTTATATTTTTTATTAAACAAAAGTTATATAAACTTTATTTATTAAAAAATGCCAATTTATTTAAATATGCCTCATATTAAAAAAGAAAAAAGAAAAGAGAATACAACAAACGAAAAGGGACCAAACCAAAATTCTATCAAAAAGAAAACAAAAGAGATAAAAATAAGTTAACTAAATATAAAGTTAAGAATGTTAATGCATGAGGTACTTTTATAAGGAGAGAAAAGAGAGAATAAGGAAAAAAATTATATATATATATATATATATATATATATATATATATATATATGACTTGTGCATTAAGTAACTAATAAACTCAATTAGCTTTGAGTTTGGGCTACACAATTTGAATTATATCATAATATATCTCATATAATTCAAGTTGTTGAACATACGTTAATCATAGTCGATCTGAACTATTCCTAGTTTCTTTCTCAAATTCAGAAATTTGTCGATCTTCAATCTTTTGGTGAAAATGCCCGCCAACTGTGATTCACTTGAACAATGCCTCATTCGAAGTTTACCTCCATTTACCTTCTCCCTTAAGAAGTGAAATTTAGCTTCGATGTGCTTACTCAACTTCCATGAAAAATTGGATTTTTCGCAAGATTTATGGGTGATTTGTTGTTGATCTTTAGAACCAAAAGTTTCTTCACTTCACCCTCCATTTCTTCAAGTACATATCTGATATGAGTTGCTTGACACGCAGATGCTCCTATTATATATCCAGCTTCACACGATGACAATGCCACCACTGGTTTCTTTCTCGAGCACCATGATATTAGGGCACCAAAGACTTGAAAGAAATAATCAGTTGTGATTCTTCGATCTTCCTTATCTCCGCACCAATCAACAACTGAATAGAAAGTAACCATAGCTTCTTTGCTTTCAGAATCTCTTCAAAATAGAGTTCCATAGTTTATCGATCCTTTTAAGTATCTCAGGATTCTTCTTGCAGCCTTCATGTGCGACACCCTTGGTTCACTCATGTATCTGCTCACTAATCTAACTACGAAACTTATATTAGTTCGAACGTTGCATGCATATCTCAGAGATCCGACAATTTATTCGAACAAAGTTACATTGACTTTGTCTTCCTCTCCATGCTTCTCCAACTTCAACTTTGGTTCGATAGACGAGGATGCATGAGTCGAATCATCCATCATAAACATCTTGAGTATTTCTTTGACATACTTTATTTGATGTAACATCATACCTTGCTTCAACATTTGAAATTCCATGCCTAAGAAATATGACAAGTTTACCATATCCAACATTTCAAATTCCCTCTTCATCAGCTCGAGGATGCAGGAGTCAAATCATCCATCCTAACTATCTTGACTATTTCTTTGACATACTTCCTTCGATGTAGCATCATACCTTGCTTCGAAATTTAAAATTCAATGGCTAGGAAATATGACAAGTTTCTCGGATCCGACTTTCAAATTCCCTCTTCATCAGCTTTTTGAACTTCGACAAGGTCTCCAAGCAATTTCCAGTTACCAGTAAGTCATCGACATATATTCAGATGATTGATGTATCTTGTGCTATAACCTGAACATAGATGCCATACTCAGATTTACATTTTACAAATCTCAATTCGATTAAGCATTAGTCAATCTTCTTGTTCCATGTCCTAGGTGCTTGCTTGAGGCCATATAGCGCTTTGTGAAACCTGTATACTTTCCTTGCTTCCTCCTGAATCACAAACCCATGAGGTTATGTGACATATATCCCTTCATCTAAGGGACCATTCAAAAGTGTTGATTTCACATCTAAGTGAAATGTCAACCAGCCTTGCTGGTATGCCAAGGCGACAACCAATATGATTGTCTCCAATCTTGCAACTACTGTATATACTTCCGGTATACGATAAACTTCGGCACCGAAAATTTATCAAGCGTACCGGAAATTTCGTCTTTAACCCTTTTCACCAATAGTAAATTTTTTTTAACAAATATATAATTTTTAGAAATAAATAGTGAAAGGAACATTTTGGAAATATTTAAAAATGGAAAGGTGACATATATAATTTGGGGATGGCATGTTAGTTTCTCCTATTCATGCCATTTGAAATAAGCATATTGTTGGACCATTTGTTAATTTGCCAAGAGACCAAACTAGATTACTTACAAGATAAGCCAAGTAGTATGTATAAAATCATTTGATAATATATTTTACTAATTATTAAATAATGACAATTTCTTAATTAATGATAGGTATGCATCACGTTACCAAAAGGTAAAAATTGTTAGATGTATAATTCGTGTTTTGTCGAAATGTTTGTGTGGTGTATGTCGAATAGCTTTTGTATAAGTTGTAAGTTATATTCGACAGAGTCGAATATAGAAAATATTGTAGTGTATAGAAATCATGTTTTGGGCTTTAGCATTTTGTGTAATTGGGTCTGGGCATTATTTGCCTATATAAAGGGTTGCTGAGTTTGTAATCAAACATTCATATTCACAGTGAAAAATAATTCATATAACAAACTCTCAATTATCTCTCTTCTCTCTTCTTCTTCTTCTTCTTCTCTTCCAAAATCATATTTCTTGAAAACCCTTTGTTCCAACAAATTGGTATAACAAAACTCGGTTGCGATTCAGAGAGAAACTAATGGCA